TCGCATGCGAAAATAAATTAGTTTTCCATGTTGCTTTGTCAGTTATCACATCGAAATGCTTGTTTTATATCGGTGAATTCTAACATTTTGCGTTCGATGCCACTACGCCGCCACGCCACCACCTGCGCGTTGCTAGCGCGCCCAGCGTAGCGCGTAGCGACGGTGGTGTCTGCAATGCCAACTTGCTTGATTGCTTGTTTGTCAGCTTGCTTGTTGTTCTACTGCATGAGCGATACAAGCGTTGCGTAACAACAACAACAACAACAACAACATTTCTTCTTTCTCCTCCATTTTTGGCCTGCGTTCCAGTTCTGTTGATTTACCGCCAGCTAATGCTATTCTTAGACCACTTACATACATACATACATACATAAAATTGCTGCATTGACATTGCACTCGGATATGGTTGGTACATAAAATCGCCGCACGCAGTCAAAATAAAGTGTCTTCTGCGGCTATTTAAGTTGTTTTATGGCCAAAAGATTGTGAAAACGCAATGGGATTGGTTGAAAGCATTAGGCGTTAGGTGGTTTGGTTGGTGCCGGTGGTACATATAACTAAAGCAAGGAATATGCTGGCACGCAAGCGCTATTTATGTATCACACACGCTCAACCGCACAAAGTACTCGTACCAACGCTGTGTTTTCGAAGCTATACAATCAGCTACGCATGCGCGGACGCAACGAGTCACGTGAGTAAATTGCAATCAATTTCCAGCTGAAAGTAATTTGCTACAGCGGTAAAGGTTGTTTTTGTGACAAATTGAATTGGGAAGCGATGTGAATATTTATTCGAAGGTACATAGGTGCATTTTCTATTGGTATTTATCGTATATATAAGTATGTACTTACGCACTTAAGCTGGTTTTGTAGAGCTGGTAGACGACCATGGAGGAGGGGTAGGCAGCTTGGGAGTACATACAATGAGACTAACAGCCGATTTCTCAGTTAATAAGTAACAATAAGTTAACAAATAATTAGTATATCACAAGAAGAGATAATATTTTGATTATAATTAAACATCAACTGAGAAATCGGCTGTAACAATAAAAAACCCACGAATTCTGGAAAGAAGCAATGAGTATTTCAAGAAGGTGTATATAACTACAAAGGGTTTAAATTTGAACATTAAAATATCAACAATTTTCCCCCATAAGTGACCGACATTTTAATTTACAAAATATCGATAAATCAAAGGGAACTTTTAAAGGACAAAGGACGATCTATCCTCAAATATAAATATGCTGTATTGAAGGTAAATAAAAATGTTATCGAGCCCTTTCTGATAATGGACGAAAATAAGCGGTCTAGGCATCTCAGTGACGATGAAGGTAGATTCGGTTGAAATGGTGGTCGTTAAGGCCGAAAGAGAAGGACCTTTTACCAACCACTGTTAAGGCAGAGGGAGCACTCCGGCCATTAAATCGACAGAAATCGGAAGTGGCGAAGGAGTGACCTGAAGGCGGGTATTAGCTAAAATTACATTCTTGAAATCAACAAGGCGTATTATTGCCTCTCCTCTGGCCACTCGTTGCTAGCGAACTGCTTAAAGTATTTCGTAGAGCTTCACTAAAATGACGGCTGAAGCTGAGCTATTCAGGTAAGCCTGTGTATGAATAAATGCAGAAAAAATGGATATGGTACTTTTCACAAGCAAGTATAAGTGGAAGGGAATTGCAGAACAAAGAACGACAAAGGCCAGCAACGCGCTATGTGGAGGCAAAACAATGCTTCATCAGTTAAATCTGCTGTGGTGAAGCATTGGAGCTATGAGGCGGTAGTTAAACCGTTATTACTTTATGAGGCTCTGGGGTGGTGAGTCACATCGCGAAATCAAGTAAATTTTTTGAAAGGAGATATAGTCTGGCTTCCTTATTCAAAAACCGGGACAACTCCGAATTCTGCTTTGAAAAGATACTCAATTTATCACCAATAAAGCTTACAGTTTTAAAGATCTACAGGTGAATTTATCAAAAAAAAAAAAAACAACTTCAGGCATAGCTCCATAATCAAGATGAATTTATGCCCGCATTTGATAGATGGCTGCACGTCTCGATCGAGGTATATTCCACACCAAAACGTAAGAAATGGGTTGACGTGAAGACATTAACATCTGTCAAATTTATGTTTTAACTATGTCCCGTTTTCTCATGTGGGCAACTGCTGTCCTAACATATCATTCTCAAAATGGCATCAAGCCAATCAGATCGATCTGTACCCAATGTAAATGGCGCGGTAAAAGAGAACTGATTTATCAAACTACGAAATGACAGCTGATGTTAAGACAGCGCTCGTAAGAAATTTGGCAAAACAGATATGGTTTTGCGGTCTCCACCTGAAATTTTTGTCTTAACACAATTTTTTTAACCGAATTTTTAGAAGGTGCAGACGTAGGGTAAAGGCTTATAGAAGCCAGCTTATGGGTCAAAAGAAAAACTTAGGGCATTCGCCTAGCCTATGGATATTGGCGGTAATTACGATATCTATCAGTACCGACTGGTGTAAACCGTCAATCACTTTTGAACAGAAATACGATGTCGTAAAACCAACTGTTACAGCAAACATCACCTTTGGTGTGGCGCGATAAATTTTAATGCAGTAAAAAAACGCAGTACATTGTATGCAAAAAACACAAAGTTTTGTAAATAAAAAATTAATTTCGTTCAGAAAATATTATAATACACTGATTTTTCTTTTAAAAATTGGAAGGGTTAATTAAACGCAATTTTAAGTATATAGTTTGTTCGCCATTTTTGCTTAGAATCGAACGCAGAATTCGAAAATGTCATAAAATTTTTTCGAAATTAAAGTACTCCATCCTAATGTATATCATAAATTTTTGCTCCTTTTCCCTGTATGCATTTGACGAGTATTTCCACAAATACGTACCTATTGTCCGTTAATTATTTATTTTTGTTATTTGCTAATATTGAGTATGCTCTTGCAGTCAATGACATTTTTGCCAGTGAAATTGATGCGATTCTTATCTCGATTGCATCTGCCACATAGTATTTATGTATGTGGCTTGTGATGCTGCAGATTCATCATTGATATGACTTTTTGCATTGTCACAGCATTCTTTGTGTCCCTTTACAACTCGTTGGTGGTCGCGAAGTATTGCTTCGTCTGACGAATCGGGGCGCCGCCGATTGTGTTAATCAGATTAATAAGACTTTGCTTTGATGAGTTGCAACTGGAGCGCCGACAACAAGCGCAGGAAGTTATCAGATAAGATCTACTATGTGTACATTCCGTGAAATTGATTTCAAATAATAATATGGGTGGACATGTGAACTTCAGGACAGGACAGGCTCAATCAGGGCAGTTTCAGTAAAGCGATTGCAATACATATCTCATACATGTGTACGTAAGTATGTATTACAATGCAACTAGTGCTTTTGTTCAGTCGCTGTACGCTGAAAAATTTCATTATTTTTAGACAGAGTAAATTCTTAAGTAACTAAATCATCAGCTCAGCAACTGTACGGGCTCTTTAGACTGGCTGATATTTTTCGAGCAGCATCCGTTTTCGGCCTAATTAATATATGCAGGAGAACAGCTCGATAAGTCAGCGACCTATTATTTGTAAGGATAAAATAGGTGGACAAATTAAACTTTTTTGAAAAAAAAAAATATTTTAAAGTCACTGACTTATCAAACTGCCCTTGTATATAAAGGGATCCCAAAAATTAATTGCCAAATTCGATATACATACAGATGATAGCAATAATCGGAGACGTCTGACAACGCTTTATCAGCTTATTCGAGCAGCGACCCCGCCAAAGTTGGGGCACCGAAAGATTCTTACACATTCACCATACAGAAAATTTCTGCTCGAACCGAGGATCTGTCTTGGTAGTGTCCTTTAAAAACCCCATTCGGGATTGGAGTGCTTAGGATACTGAGTGACCAATGGAGCCACCAAGCCTTACGCAGATTTAGGGGTTCTCTTCCTGGGACATATCATCAATAGATGCATAGCAAAAAACGTCAGCCAAACAAACTCTGCCTTAACTAGACTTATCTCTAAGCTCTCCCACAGCAGCGAAAAGCCTCCGGGATATTCGCTTCACCGACACAATATACATATGTACGTAGTAGATATAATGAAGGGCTCAAAACACGCATGGGACGAAATATGTGCCACAATAGCAGATAAACACCGACAGCTGAAACAAGAAGGAGCACGGCGGAAATACCTACTGGGGTTAACTGTACCTGACGGTAGGAAGTTTAGTGACCTAAAGTCCCACACTGACAGGCTAGGCTTTCGATGCTTCGTCCTCGTAAAAAAAACGCACTGGTAGGGTAAGTACAAAGGCATCTTCCTTCCTCAAAAAAATTTTACCATCCCAGAGTCCCGCAGTGGCAAACACCTAGCATACAGCGTTTGGTGCCTTTTCACGAATGGACCCACGGACATCTTGATGACATGTGGTCGAGTGGAGCGCCTCTTCAGAGTGCGTCCCTTTAAAGCCTCCTACCAAGACCGATGCACTGCTCGTTTTCTGGACTGCTCGCCGATCAGAAAGGGCCAGGTCTCAAAGTAGGACGGTGTGAAAGTGAAAGAGGGCATTTAGGGGAGAACGTCTGAAATTAAGGATTTCCATATCGTATTATGCGGAAAGGCCATGAAGCTCTATAAGACTGCAATGTATAGAATATTCGATTCTGCGATAAAGCGTTCTTTGTTTTCTTAATACAATTCAATTTGACTTCAATCTGATAAATGTTAATGATAAGCAATATCAGATAATTGCCGATAATCTATGTTTTGTAAAGTATTGTCAAGGTCTATGCGTGCGTATTTATGTATGCGTAGAAATTTTAAAACTTACATATTTATTTTACATACTTATACTATATATTTATACTGCGTACATATACATACATAAGGTATATTTTTACACATACATACATATATAGTTATGTACGTATTAACCATTAAATATTTGATAACAAAAGAAATAAAGTAAACTAAAATATTTTTATATGAATTTGAGGCAAACTTCTACCTAACTCATTGATAAAAATGTAAATATCAAGAATAAGTACCGCTATTTCCTTTCTTTACCAGCCACAACACTCAAGCGTGACCATTCTTGGGCACCTCCCACTTCTTGCCCAACGCCAAATCGCGCGCCTGATTCCTTAATATCTTACCGCTTCCCGTTTTTGGCAGCTCGTCCAAGAAGAAGACACCACAATGCAATTGCTTGTGCATCACCACCAGCCGTTTGGCCACATACTCAACAATATCCTGTTCCAACAGCTTACTACCCGGAATCTTGACCACCGCCGCTGCCGCAGCATCGCCATCCACCTCATTCCACAGCCCGAAAACACACACCTCCACCACATCTGGCAACTCGGCAACCACTTGCTCAATTTCGTGTGGACAATATTGCATGCCATGGAATTTGAGTATATCCTTTTTTCTATCCAATACATACAGATAGTTTTCGTTGTCGAAGTAACCCAGATCGCCGGTGTGGAACCAACCCTGATAGTCTTGCATGCGTTTCGTCTCATTCGGATTGCCATAATAACCATTCCAGACTTTGTTGTTATGCACGAGTATTTCGCCAGTTTCATTGTGACCTAAACTGCGTCCAGCGTCGTCGAGTATTTTCACCTTCACACCCGGCACCAGTTTGCCCACCGAGCTTGGCTTTGTGATGCCCAAATTGGCTGATACACCACCGCATTCGGTGAGCGCGTAACCGTAGGATATGTAACCGTTCGTTAGGTATTCTTGCATCTTCAACAACGTCGGCACGTAACAATTGCCGCCACCAATGCTGAGGAAGCGTACGCTGGACAATTTTTCCTTGGCTAGAAGTGGTGACTTGACGAGTGTGGCAACGTGACGTGGCGCTAGCGTTAAAATAGTGACTTTGTACTTGTCGATGAGCTGCAGCAGATACTCCGGTGTGTAGGGTTTGTCGACTATAATGCGCGTAGCGCCGTGACCGCAACTGAAGATCATATTAAATAGGCCAGTGGACCAGTCAATTGTGCTAAACGAGAGCAAAACATCTCTGCTGGAGACAAAGCTGTGGGGTAAATAGGAAGAAGGCGGGATTGGTTAATAAATTAGCGGAAGCAATAAAANGTGGTGCCAGATGAGCATAATATGGCCACAGTTTGATCTCCGCCGATCTTAAGAGTTTCCGGGCTGTAAGAAAGAGGGTTTTTAGCTAATATTTAACACAATACGAGAATATGTAAACTGAAGACAGTCTTATGCCTCTTTTAAGCACTTAATATAGGAAAAATTGTTTAAGTATTGCACTCAAAATGCCATCATTTGGACTTACTTACTTACTTACTCGAGCTGGGCGGAAAAAATATAGGTGAGTAAGTAATTGGAGCATGAAAAATTTATGAAGTATAGCAGGTTAGACACTTAAGCAAGAAGTATGTTAACAACAAATTTTAACAACAAATTAAAGGTATATGCAGGGCAGCCATCGGCAATATTTAACGAGTTCAGACATTGCATTTCAAATATTTGCCATTTAAAAGCCAGGTTACCAATCAGAAAGTAATTTTCCTTGAAATCAACAGTTCTAAAATCGAATGAGATGTCTGCGGTTCGGAAACTGCACTATTATTTATATATAAATTAAAATAAAAAACACAGACAAGGGCTCCGGTGATCGGCTAAATTTCCGACACACTTAAACATTAGATAAACTAGTCCCGAGCCAATCACAGAGTTACCAAAGTGGCAAATTGTACTACCCAAAGTTTTCTCAGATACTTCAACTCGTGAAAGCTAGACAACCTACAAGAAATATTGAGGTGATTTCACATTAACGTTAACTCCATTCGGACAGACCCTGACCCGCCTATAAAAGCAAGAGCCGCGGCTTTATAAGCACAAGTTGATGCTTTGGAAGTCAGCATGAGAATTGGGCTCTATATCAAAAAGTTAACCACAGGTGGTCAGTGACGGATCCACAAGCTCCCTGCCCACTGGGATCGTTCCAATTAAACCTTTTGACGCGTAGTAGCTTTTCGCTACATCAACACGACCTGGTACTCATATGAGTAACGCAATGGAAACAGAGTTCTGGCCCTTCCGGTTCATTATTGACGTCCCACACTGGTTCTCTAACGGCAACCACTTCCCCTTGAAATAAGCTCCAGTAATCTGGAAGCATAAGACCAATAACACCCAAACCCTTCCGGCAAGTTTCGATATGAAAAAGTTCACTATGTAATCGCTACAGGGACCATGTGTAAAGAAAAGGTTGTTTGGACCTATTTCAGAAGCACAGTGCTTTTTGATGCTACCCAAACTTTGGGTTCGTTCAGCATTCAGTTTCTCTGAGCCTGCCTATAACCCATGCTGTGACAGTTTAGGGTGAAAGTCACCACCTCTAACCTACAGAATCCCACAGCCTCAGTATTAGGTTACCAAGTCAGTTTCCTATAAAGCCCATGTTCTTATTCATTTTTAAAACGCTGTAGGAAAGAGTTAAGTTAGGGACCTCCTACTCCCTAGTAAATAGAACCAGAACCCGAATGTCGACATCCTCGAGTTCATTCGTTTCGAACAATTCGGTTGAAAACAAGTAATCATTCAATCCTGGACGCCGTATGTCGCGCCCAATATTGTTTTCCGGTTTTCTTCAGATCCAACAAGGTATGCTGAAATCTAATCCTAACCACTTAGTTTGCATAGGGAGCCACTCATTTCGAGGAACTTAAGCTACTCAATATCCATTGAGAGGATCTAACCTTACGGCGTATTTCTATTCACTCTATGATGCTCCTGCTTGACCGACACTGGCCTCACAGCTCTGTCGCCGGTCAGCAGTAGTTGCAGATGAGTTTATTGTTCTTTTAAACATCTAACTATTGTACAAACGTCCTATTGATTGATAAAAGAACTTAGAGAATAACTGCTGTGAGTTCATCAGGAGGAATCCGTAGCAAAAGACTACGAAGAAGAAGAAGTAATTGATTATGCTGGTACAATGATGCTGCCTTAAGTCGTTGGGCTAGAAACTGAAAACTTTGGTGTGTAAGATTTATGTCCAATACCTTCAAGTACTTGCTCTATCGTTATCTGACGGTCTTGTAAAAATATTTCATAAACACTCACACATAAAACATTTCACCCTTTGTGGGTTCGAGCAAATCTTCAATTCTCGGCAAATCCTTACGATGTTCCTTCAGCGTATAAACATTGGCCTTCAGTATTTTACTTATAACACTGACACGGTCGTAAATGCCGCCATCGCAGAAAATCAAACGCGGACGACTAATGCAGAATAAATGTTTGATGGTTGCTAAGGAGAAACAAAAAACGAATAATACAAAATATTTCTACTAAAATATATAAATTATAAATGGTAAATACTCACACTCGTCATGATGTGGGCTTATCGCATGAAAGGGCGTACAATTCAATAAACAGCCCAAAACCAAGGGCAGCAAATAGGTTGTATTACCACCAGCTATGCCTATAACATCGTCTTGCTTCAGACCCATGGCCTTGAAGTGTTGCGCCAAGCGGATACCAAAACTAATCGCTTCGCCATTTGTAAGAGCTGTGTTTTCGGTATCTGATAGCTATGGTTGAAGAAAAATTTAATTGTTTTTGTATTACCTATTACCTATATACAATGTAGATATGCTAGAGGTTAGCCACTTCAAATGCATTTCGCACTCCACGCACCTGACATATATTTCCGGGATTGTTGCGCATAAATGCGAATAGCACTTTGCCGATCGAACAATCTGGATCGAAGAATTTCGACGACTTTGAACCGCTCCATATTTTTGTGTATTTATCGAATTCTGTATTAAGCGCATCCATCGCCATTTTCATTTTTATTCTTTGCAAGCGAAACTTCCTCCCCGGTTCATCTGGGACACGTTAGCAACAAATTGGTATTATCCGACGGAAGTAAGCGCTCACTTGCCAATTTTGCTATCGACTGGCAATCAACTTTTTTTTTTCGACTGAATGGTCAAAATCGCATTTTTCCCTCTGGTTTAGTGATTTTTGATAAGCATTGTTGATAAGCGCGCGTCGTTTTATTGCACGTATGCATATGTTTATATATAGACGATCAAATGTATGTGTTTGAGAGAGAACATCGCACAGCTGTGTCGCTTACGCTCTTTATCATTCGAATACTTTTGATGATAAGATTAAATATTAGGCTTAAGAAATTAAAAAAATACCGAATGGCAAATGGAAAAATGTTAGTATAAACCTTTAAAAATGAGCCACAAATCGGACAATGAGAATCGGCGGAGTAGAGAATCGATAGAGGAAGTCTTCATACATAAAGACTTTACTGTGAGTGCCTTTCTTGACATAGGGTGGTTCTTAACGAGTCCTACCGGATATAATTGTCAGATCCTAGTTAGGGCAGGGTGGTGTTCTCACTCCCATCCTTTGGATTTAGGCTAGCTAGAATGAAGGAAGCTTTTAATGAAGGATAAATTTCTGTATGCCCTGAACCTAGTGACTAAGTTATTTGCAAACAGTCCTAGGTAAGACGGAACTCGTATTGTTCACTAAGGAATATTAGATACCCCACGCGTCTTAATCCTCAAACGGAGCCATTTGCTTAACGCTTTCTGATAGAGTTAAGTTGTTGTTATTAATTTTAGAATGGGAGCTGAAGGGGAAGTCTAATACCGAGGAGGTTGAAAAGGGCATTCGTGGATCTTTATTGCTGGACCAGTGAATTAAAAAAGACAACGCTTGTCAGAGAGCTGGAGCGGCTACAGCACCCACCTTCCTTTGAAGAACTAGATCGCTATACTAGAACTGCTGCGGTCAGCCTTAGGGGCGCCGGAAACTTAATTTATTCACGATTCTGACACTCTAGTATTCTTGGAAGCATCGATTTCATCCCTGATAACAAGCATAACTAAGAGGCTAGACTGTTACCAATTAACTCTATCTGCACTCAAATCCCATTGGACATATTTAAGTGAACGGGAGGCGGAAAATGGAAGGAGGCACCACTGACTTCTACACGGATGGATCGACGGAAGTCTTTTGTTGGAACTATGGCAGCCAGAAACGTTAATGTTTTCCAAGTTCGCGAAGTCGGCAAGTAATCTTAAAACATGTATCTTCTAAATCCAATAATGAGGGCTTTGGTCTCACTCGGGGTAACTCTAACTACTTGCAGACTGCTCTTGGGCATATGAGTTTCGTATGACGAAAGTCAGGTAACGTTGGAACTGTATAGTCTTTCCAGCCGAAAGTGGACCCCATCCGGTCAAAGGATGTTTGAGGGATAGCCAAGCCGCAACTCTCTATTCGTTTTGTAAGTTGCTTAGCGGTGTAGTTATCTCAATACTTAGATTACTCGTTTTAACACTACAATGCGCGGTGTTCCAAATTTGGCACATTCAAATTTTGATTGTACAATAAATGCTAAATTTTTACAAGTAAGTTTTAGAAATTTCTTGATTTTTCATAATATGAAGTAGCGAAAAAATCATAAGTTATATTTTTCATAGATAAATTGTGTAAATATAAATAAGCTTTCTTTTTCATGTTCGTCAGACTTTTAGGACAAACAGTGTTCGTAGATATTGTGCTGCATAGTGAGCGGTGCATTGACGTATTCTAATCCAAACCAAATTTTCGATATTTTGACAAATGCAGCGGAGGATAATTCTGAAGGTCCAGAATCTGAACGAATGAACCAAATTCTGAAAGCAGGGATGCATTTCAGCCCCAATCACATTTAAAAAATATATCCAGTGTTCCAGGNTTTTGGCCCCTGCTTTCGCGAGTTAACTGTCGCCAGGTGTTATGGTTGTATTGCCATTATCCTTAATAAGTATTACGGTTACCTTTAATTCATGCATAGAAACATATTTATTTATTTCTACTAACAACAAGTAGCTATACATTTGTGAGATTATCTATATGGCTGTGAAATATTTAATCACTTCCTAAAATAATTATTTGCTTTATCTAAAATTATTACAATATATTTAACTAGCGTAAACAAACAAACAAAAAACAGCAACATTGCATTGGTCATACTTTTCTTAAACTAAATAACACTTTTCCCTCTTCCCTTTGCCGCCATCGTCCCATTTACTGATCACTCCGCTCAGAGATAAATAACTTTTTAATCTCCTCGACATTTTGCTTGCCATTCGGCAATTTTGGCAACTCCTTCACAACTACCGCTCCAGCATGCAGGTGCTTATAGTCGACTTCGATATGCTCTTTCACATAATCGATAACATCGCGTGCACTCAATGAGCTTCCATGTGCGCCAGCAACAACAGCAGCTGCTGCATCGCCCTCTTCCTCATTCCACAATCCAAAAACACATGCATCCACCACATCTGGCATCTTAACGATCACTTCCAAAATTTCATGCGGACTATATTGCATACCTTTATACTTGAAAATATCCTTCTTGCGATCCACGATGCTCAAATAGCCATCCGCATCAAAGTAACCCAGATCACCAGTGTGGAACCAACCATCTGCATCACACATCTCCGCACTCACGGCGCTATTACGGTAATATCCCAACCACTGTTCACCGTGATTGCAACAAATTTCGCCGATCTCTCCGCAACCCACTTGCTCACCATTTTCATTTAAGATCTTTACCTTATGACCTGGTTGCACGCGTCCCACCGATTGCGGCTTCTGCCTCAAATCGTAGTTAATAGCCACAACTCGGCCAAATTCACTAAACGCATAGACGTTGATCATGCGGCCGTGACGCAGATAATTTTGTATACGTTGCTGTGTGCGAGTAGTACATTTGCCACCGCCTATTACAAGGTATTGCAGAGTGTCCAATTTATCGGCGTCAATTGCCGGACTATTCAGCAGCGTCGTCAGTAGAGGTGGTGCTATAATAGCAAATGTTGCCTTAAACTCAGACACTACCTTCAAAAAGTATTCAGCATTGAATGCCTGATCGGTAATAATACGCTTAGCGCCAGCAACAATGCTGTCAATGAAGTAGATGATGCCGGAAAGCCAGTCAATCGTACTTAGAACGAAGAGTGTATCTTTCGAAGTGAGAAAACTGAAAAATGTTTACAAGTAAATACTATTAAATGTAACTTAATAACCTTAAAGAAATTAACATAAAACCTATGGAAGTATAACTCACGGAAAAGTACCGCAAAGTCGCTTATTGTTAGAGATGGTTACAGCTTTCGGAAGACCCGATGTACCCGAAGTGCATAAAATTATTAAAGTTTGTTCCGGGCCATTCTCCAAGGTTGCTGGCCTATTGGAAAAGAAACAAATATACGTATGTACATACATACACTTATTTACATAACTTCGTATCTCCTAACAATTCGAAGATGTTGACTGTATATCGATATCTGAGAGGAAAATCGACCTATCTCGGCAATCAGTTCGAAAACGCCCTATCTCAGAAAACTTTTCAAGAACGCCCTACTTCAGAATTTGATCGAAAAACAGCCTATCGAGGAATTTAGTTGATGAACGTCGTATCTCACAGCACAGTTTCAATGTATTTTCAGTTGAGATATGGCGTTTTTGAACCGAATTCTGAGGTAGGGCGATCTTCAACAAAATTCTGAAATGGGGTGTTCTTGAAAGTTTTCTGAGATAGGGCTTTTTCGCACCAAGATATGTAGGTCCATCTTCCACTCAGGTGTCGATATTCAAGAACGTAACAGATATCGCAAAACGATCCTAATAAAACGGAACTCATCTTGCTCCCTTCGGAGTATTGAAATACTCGTCCTACCGCAATGGAGTTAGTTTGCCATACGCTTCTTTAAAGAGTCAAGTACTTGGGTTTAATTCTAGACAGGAAGCTCTAATCGAAGCCCAAAATTGAGAAACGGGTGAAGAAGGAACCCGTGAGTCGGCAGCGTCTTTCCTAAAGCTATATTCTAGCTGTTATACCGGATGCAACGAACCGCCTTCGTTGGAATCAGTGGTGCCTTTCGGTCAACTCCCACTCTGCAAAAGCTGTCAGTCAGCGGTACTTGTGTAGTTAGCTAGACTTGGAAGTTTTGCCTGAGTCCCTGAGAAATTGGCTGGCCGAGGCTAATCGGCTCTGGTTCTGCTCACATACCTAAAGGGTTAAGTGAGAGGGCCGTAACAGCTGGAGGAAGGCGCTGGTGAACTTTTTCATTGACGGGTCAGAGCTTGAGAGAAAAGTTTATGGGGAGTGTTCTGTAAGAAGCTCACATCAACTTTAGGCTTAGGCTTACAGACCACTGTAGTATTTTCCTGGCAGATTTTGCTTTTACCTTTGACCATTCTTGAACAAACGAGCCCACTGAGCGCTACAAGTGTCAGGCAAAAAACACAACCCTCTTTTGGCCGTGAGTATTACGGAGGTGGACTAGCATCCCACCTTCCGTTTAGTTACCAAGCTTGTTCGAGCCTGTGGTCTAAGCACCTTTGAGCCCACTTTTTAACCAGCCTGCGAAACTGCGTTCTCGGCAGACAACGTTTTTTCGTAGATAGGAGCCAGACAATTCTACCTCTGAATAGCAGGTAGTAATTTTTTAAGAGCCTTCTCATGACAGAGGTTTGCTTTGCATGCCGAGGGACGACTGCAATTGGAAAATAGCTCTTTGTGTTTTTGCTTTTATATAGGCCGGATCAGAAGTCAAAGCAGGGTCCTTCAAGGTGGTAGCATGGACCTTGTACTACTCTGTGGTAGGATGTTCTTGGGATTACCCTTTGTCAGAATATTCATAAGACGCGCTAGGCTATTAAAATGTTATGCATAGCTTCATAAAAAAAATTCACCAGCACCTACATTAGACAGATTTATTGCCTCTATTTGGGAATCTTTCTTACAATTTAATTACTTTTTTGTAAACTTTTTGCAATATGAACTTACACAAATTTATTTTCGGTACCAGTTGGTTGCAGGAGTTCAAGAATAGACTGAACATTTGGTAAATGATTACTCAA